CCCATCTTCAACTTTACTGAATTCGGATTTCAAATAATGTTACAACGATTTTATACCTTCCGATAAATACGTTCCAATTTCCGGAGAAAAATTGTCTGTTATTTTTATAATAAAAATAAATTTTACGCCCATTTCTGCCGTCACTTCAAGATAGTCAATTTATCTTGAATTATTTTGCCAGCCTCTCCTTCCACTCGACGAATCTCGGACGAAATTGTGCAACCGCTCGTCGGAGGAGGTATTTAGATTAATACATATTAATCTAAATTAATATTTAATTATTAATTCAATTCAATTTAATGTAATTTATTTTAAAAATGTGTACAAAATATTAATTTTTCTGACGTTGTGCAATCTTACAATCAAATTTTCATCATCGTCGCATCTTGATTTCATGCTTTAATTACGTACTGTAAATAATTGCAGGTAATTCTTTACCATTGTATCGATGTTATTAGTTTAAACGCTAAGTAGCCAACATTATTTTTCGCTTCACGTCAAAATATCGTTTATAGTTCCTTGCTAATTTGCAAAAAAAACCGTAAAAATGATTATTAAGGCCGACTAAAAGCAGTCAGGTTGAGCTATAATTATCTTCTCTAATAACTGTCTAGGTTAAATATAACTGTCATAAGAATCAACTCCTTTCTTACAAAATGGAAGCCACGAAGATATCGTGCTTCATATAACGACGATTCCAAATATATCTTCGTCTTGTCGATCATCAACGCTGGGCAAAAGTTTTCTTTCAAGCGAAAAATATTAATGACTGCCATCTAAAAGTTATCAACTTTAAAGTTTTTAAAAACAAGCCACAATTTTTGAAGCTCCACTTTGATACATAGAAAACCTAAATCGGGATGAGTTTTGTACTTAACAGGAGACTCCGAGCTGCTGGTTCTCATCCGCGTACATTGGACACAAAAATGTGAGTCAATTTATTTTTGCGTGGAATTTAAAATTGTGAATTAATGCAGGTCAGCCTATGGATTATTTTCTCAACTGCCTGAAATAGAAAAGAAATATTTCTTCGAAGTTATAGGAACTATAGAAATATAATTCGAATAGAGTCGATTCGAAGAAAATTTTCTTTTTCTTTAATTAAAAGCATAGATGCATAGATTTATGACTTCTCTGTAATTTAAAAACTCGTCGAGTGGCACAAAGAAGTAGGCAAAATGTAGCTGACTTGAAACATTTGATAATACTCGCAGGTGAAAAGATAATGATATACGCTCTGTTTTAGGTGATTGGTTAATAAGAGGCAATTGAAAATAGTGTATTAATATATGGTTAACAATTAATTATGCATTCAAGGTCCATCATGAAGCCTGCCTTAATTACGAGTCGATGGATGGTTGTTTGCTTGTATTTTTGCTCCTAACGACGCGGTTCGACTTTTTTTAGACATTCGTCAGCAAATCTGAGTGAATTTTGAATTTTAAATGTTGGCCGACCACCTCAGGCAAACACGAAAAAAATGTTCTGTTTCAACTCAATGCCTCTAACTAAAATTTAATTCACTTTCAAGCTTAAAATGAAGAAGTATTCATTTCAATCATAACCACACATCAGCAGCAGTTTTCCTCCGACCTCAAGATTGCATTCGAGTACACTGGAATTTGCATTAAACGAGGATGCAGGGAATGCGTTTTGCCTGTTTTCTAAACAAGGGATGCCGGGGAAAAAATATCTCTCCTTGAATCTCCTACTTGAATTGAATTGAAAATCGTTCTAATGGCTCTTAAAAATCCCTTCCATCGCTCTGAGAAGGATTGTTAGGATTTCTTTCCCAGATGGTCACGCTCGTCCGTCATCATGCAGAGAGAATGAAGGAATGTTTTGCTAGACTTTAGTTTGGAAAGAGGGTGCATGCATGATTTTTTCATTATACTTGAATCAATTCTTGATTTACACGAATTGATTATCCAGAGGCTAAAGCTTCAGATAAGTGAACAAGTCACGATCCCTATATCGTTATTGAAGGCATTACTGCTCATTTTTACCGAGAGATCTAAATAGCATGAATTAAGACAATAAGACCTGGAGCGCAGAATAGCGCAGGCCTTGTGGGATCAGGACATCTCGTAATTGCGAATTTTTTATTACACGCCTCGTTAACATAGGCCCTCTTATTTGCTCAAATCGCTGATTTTCCCAGAAAATATTCATCGTGGGTGCACCGGTTGGATAACTTAGCAAAAACTTGCTTATCGTGCTATAATTATCACTTTATTTTCTTCTATTTTGTCGAGGTAGGATTTCCAAACATCCATCGCATGATCGTTAGTTGCCTTAGCAAACGAAAATTTTGAATTGAGAGGCATCGAATAAAATATTTCCTCCGGCTGTGTTTATTTTATAGATTCCTGTGAACTGGAATGAGTTGCTAGTTAATTTTTTACAATACCCTCTTCCAGACAATTCAAACGCTGAGGATTAGCAATCAATGCTTGTAAAAATTGTACTAAATCAATAGTATAGAAGTGGCCGAAATTCGAGTGGATAACAAAAAGTAGGAGAGATTTGCGGTGATGCCGGCACATAATTAGAACAAATAGCATAATTTGTTATATAAACTACATAACTTTAACTATATAACTATAACAAATAAACTATATAACTTTATAACATATAAACATAAACTATATAAACTATATAACTTTATAACATATATAACACATAATCAAAAATTGCAATAAAGTCAATAACCAGGCCTAAGTAGGCAATGTGTCCTTGAACCATGGCCGAGTAGCGGATCATGGCTGTAGCCTTGAAGGCTTTCACAAGAAAGCGAAACTTGCCACACGATATGCAACGGTCCAGTTTGCTGGCAACCGCAGGCTGTGTGACATGTGCTGGTGAGCGCGCAAAGATGGGAAACTTGGAGCAGTTTAGTTAAAACATACCTAAATATGTTATTTTATGCCTTTTTACAGCAGCATTAAATAACAACGTCGGGGTACTTAACATTTTCACAATACTTGGCATAATTCAAAATCATTTTTCATCTGTCAATGAACGTAGAAATTTAAATTTAACTTATCGTAATTGGTCAATATTTCAGGTTCATTGAAAATAGAGATTTGAATGAGTTGCGTCATTCAATAACATATTAAGAGACCTATATTTCTTAACCATAAATCATGATTTAATACTGTAAAATTACAGTAGATCTAAACATTTATTCAATGAGCTTATAATGCGCCAATCTAGTCCAGCATTCATGTCAAGGACTTGCCGCCCCGGTGGACTTGTGAAGTTTGGTTACCAATATTCATTAACCTTGAACTTTGTGGAAACCAAGATTCAGTTATACTGCTTTGTTTCTACGCTGTATTATGATTCCATATCCCATTGTTTATTTGAAATAATACTTAGAAAAAGTAGCTCAGTATTTACTTTTACATTACTTTACTTTAAAAGTAACCACCAATAATATTTGTATAAGTTTCAAGTAGAAACGCTAAGCTTTCAAGATGATACGAACGCTACCGAAATAATTTTTGAGATAGAATTGGGCTCGATCAACGTACCATTTGAATATCATGCATGGACTTCAACAAAAATTTTAAGACGATTTTTTATTTTCAAATAATTTTTGCTGCACAGTCACTATCCTATATCATCGCTTTTTCTGCAGCTAATCTTCAAAGTTGAAAAATGAATTATATTCTACTTTTGATACTGACAAAAATACCAGTAGAATTTTTTTCGACGTTCCATTTATTTATTTTGAGATGGCGCATATACAATGACAGAAGTTTTAAGATGTCGATTTACTATCATTAATGTGTGTAGTTAACACATAACATCCATAAAACGTACCTATTATATGATAACTTTCATCAACGCGACCCGTTTAAATTTCTAAAAAATATAATTTGATTCTAATTCTATAGTTGCACGAGGAGCCAATGCTTTCTCTAAGTGCGTGAGTAGAAAACTTGATGGGGAAGAGAAGTGGGGAAGACTTTCTCGATTGGGGAAGACTTTCTCTTACTAATAACCGAGTGTGTAGCGGGCGAGCTACTGGCATGGTGGGTTCACTCCTTGATTGAAAATCCCGATGAACGGTTCGAGAGTCTGTCGGAATATTTTGAAAAAACGGGAGTTTCGATGATGTGGTGTTTGAAATTCAATGGTCTCTTGGAATTGAAACCATATATTTTAACAGCATCGTGTTAACAGCATCGTGTTTATGTTAACTATTTATGACAACGATAAGTGCAAAAATAAATCGAAACGATAATTTAAGAATAAATATAGTAAAACAGTACTTCCTAAGGATTAAATTAATTTTATAATCTTTTGATATTGTAGGTTCGGTAGTTGTAATATTAATCTCAAATCAGCCATATGTATGCACACGAGCTGAGCTCTGATATAGCGACGAGGAATACTGGCCTTTAACATTGACATTTAAAAATAATCTATATATCCGTTCACTATTCCGAGGAGATGCAAAACAAATTCTCCACAAACTCGACATAACAAAAGTAAGTGTATATCAACTAATTGACACTCAGTTCCATGCTGTTTACCTGCTCTCTTAAATTTATTTTTTTACAATAATTTATGACGCGTTAAAATAAATACTGCCCAAATACATTACCTGAAGGTAATAAGATACATGTAGTTAATATATCAATTCATTACCTATTCAATATTTGAATGCTGACAACAAGTAACTACTATGGTACTGGACTCGTGTAAAGGGATAATGAGTCCAACCATGATCAGTAGCACCAATAAATGAGGGAGGCAAACAGCACTGCGGTAAATGGTGATGGTAAGTATCTGAAACATTTTACTAGCCTCTGATACTGTCCCCGTTCACGCACACATATACCGCGAATACTCGGAGATGGCACGTATAAATTAAATATTATTAGAAAAAATTATTATCAAATATTATATACAACAGTATTAAATTGAAAGTACTAAATGAAGTTTTCATTTACAGAAAATTTATCGCCGTAAAAATGTTGAACAATAGGTTATGGGTGGTCTTGATCTCGCTTACCATTAATTTTGTTAAACCCCAAGCTATCTTAACAAATTTAAATGAACCGATCGATTATGAAGGGTTTACTGCCGACTTACTTGATTATCTAAAAATAAATCGAGACAACGTCACGTCTTCTAACATCGTCGACCAAATCATGGAGGCCGCTACTCTCAGAAACGTCACTCTCAACGATGTTCTGGAAATTAGAGAACAACACACTATCCAAAAATCAGACTTCATGCGTACCATTCCGAAGGAACAAGTGCCTCTGCCAACGGTGAGTCAATTGAATATAACCATCATTGATATCTATTATTAAATAAAAAAATCATTTTCAAACGTTGTTTTTTATAATTTTTATGTAAATATTTGTAAATCATTTAATCATAATGTTACGGACTGGTTAATTTTTGTTGACCAGCAAATTCCAGGAAAAAGAGCATATGTGTCAAGTTTCGTTAGCCGTCTTTGGGATTGAATCGAATTTTTCTCTCGTCTTCGGCCTATGGATCTCTTATAATATTTCTAAATTATTCTAATGAAGCAAACAAAATATCAATTAGAATTTGAACTTCATTTAACTTAAAATGAATTTATTTCCCCAGCCATTCCGGCCTATGTATCTCATATAAAATTTCTAAATCATTGTAATGAACCATACGAAAAACTAATTTGAATTTATACTTTATCTAATCATAAAATGAATTTATTTCCCCAGCCATATGCGATATTGGAGGCAGGGTATCCGTTTCAAGAGTTCCAAGTGACCACGTCTGACGGGTACATACTTTCCCTCCACCGCATCCCTGGGCTCAAGGGATCATCCCCAACCACGTATGGACCGCCCGTGCTACTCATGCATGGACTCGCCATGGCCTCTACTTCTTTCCTCGCACTTGGACCTAGCAATAGTTTAGGTAATTTCTTAGCAAATGGTTTCAATTATTATTCTAAAATCCGGATGTTCCATGGCCTCTACTTCTTTCCTCGCACTTGGACCTAGCAATAGTTTAGGTAATATCTGTACAAATGGTTTCAATTCTTATTCTGAAATCCGGACTCGCCATGGCCTCTATTTCTTTCCCGCACTTGGACCTAGCAATAGTTTAGGTAATATCTGTACAAATGGTTTCAATTCTTATTCTGAAATCCGAACTCGCCATGGCCTCTACTTCTTTCCTCGCACTTGGACCTAGCAATAGTTTAGGTAATTTCTGGGCAGATGGTTTCAATTATTATTCTGAAATCCAGACTCGCTATGGTCTCTACTTCTTTCTTCGCACTTGGACCTAGCAATAGTTTAGGTAATTTATGTGCAAATGGTTTCAATTATTATTCTGAAATCCGGACTCGCCATGGCCTCTACTTCGTTCCTTGCACTTGGACCTAGCAATAGTTTAGGTAATTTCTGGGCAAATGGTTTCAATTATTATTCTGAAATCCGGATTTTCCATGGCCACTACTTCTTTCCTCGCACTTGGACCTAGCAATAGTTTAGGTAATTTCTTAGCAAATGGTAGCAATTATTAATCTGAAATTCAGATTTTCCATGACCTCTATTCGTTCCACGCACTTGGACCTAGCATAGTAGTTAAGGTAATTTCTCTGCAAATGGTTAAGAACCTTTGTTTGAGATTTGGGTTTTGTTCAAATTGTTCAGAAATTTATATCTACCTAATGTTCCTGATAATTGGACATGTTCATGTCGTGGATTACTACACCCTTTTCCTTCCTCATATTCGAAATATCAAATCTATCAAATACCCGAGTATAATCACTGCATGCATGCATATTCTTTATGCTAACCACTTCATATCCTGAGAAAAAGCTGTCGAGTTAGTATCAGAATCGCATTTCGTGATATACGTTTACGTCTAATTTTGTATTGAATTTGCTTTTCATTCAAATAATCTTATGATACCTGGAAGTATAAAATTTTATTAATCATACTACCAAATTCAAATCAAATTTTTATTATTCATAATCATACTATCATAACTATGTTTTTCATCACTGGCTTCTTCTATTGAAAAAACTGCGAAACTTTCGATAAATTGGCACTCTACAGAATGTACAGCATGATGATACTTCACGGCATTGATACTTACTACAGCAAATGATACTTCACGCACGGCATTGATTGACACGGCGCAGCGCCAGCAATTTAAATGCCCCCGGGCACACTTAAAGTTCATTCCACCGATCTTGCTAATCAAATGGCAATTTATAACCATTTTAGTTTGAATGAATCGCAGTAATTCCATAAATTTATGTAAAGTGAGTCCTGAGTGCACGGAATCCTAGCAACGGATACACATATAATTAACAGTTGACAGTTACGTATTTATGGACAATTACGAATGGATTTAATTTATGCCAACCAAAGTTAAAAAGTTACAAGAAAAGTTAAAAGTTTGTAGTTAAAGGTGATGATTTCGTTAAAGCCCAAAACTATGATGTCCTTAAACCTAGTATATTTTAAAAACCGATATTTTATTCGGAAAAATCGTCTTAGCTATGGTAATCATTTCAGGTTACATCTTGGCCGATGCAGGCTACGACGTGTGGCTTGGCAACTTTCGAGGCAACACTTTCAGCCGCAAACATACAAGTCTTAATCCAGACTCTGACCAAAGCTTCTGGCACTTCAGGTGTGTTCCAAAATGTTATTTAACACCTATTTTTCCACAAACGTCATTTGCAATCGCTTGAGACAAACAATAGAAAAGTTAGATATATACAATTATGTATTATATTGAATTTTTGAAACGAAATGTGTTCAAACGTTTGAAATGTTGCGATAAGTTAATATACCAACAAAATTCTAAATTCATTTAATTTTTCGCTCAGTTTTTTTGTGAATTACGCTCAGATTTAGCGCTGAATTAACCAAAAGCGATCGAATTCATCATGTTTCAACTCCGCGCTTGTTGAACTTAATTCATGGTTTGTCACATGAATAATATTATTTTTCCAAAGAATATTTCACTCTTTTCGTCACGACTGTGTCATGACTGATATACGTTTTCACAAAAAAAAATGCTAGAACTCAGCAGTTTTGCATATTATATGAATATTTCAAGTTGCAGAGTAATAATGACTTACGCACTTTTCAATCTTTTCGGCTTACTTAATTTTTTTTACAAAATCTTCATGCCTTTTTTCTTGCTGAAGACTTTCGATGTCTATTCATTTATTCCCAATTCATTATACTGTTAAATATCATACACTGAATTCCATGTTTCAATGATTCTCAGAAACTTGATGATTCGATGCTAATTATGTAGTATTGACAATAAACAATCTCATTCATGTAACATTGAAGATATATCGTATAAATTTTTTTGCCTGTTTCAAGCATGACAGAATCGTGCGATAATCACTACACCTGTGGCGTACTAACCGTGCAGAGGGGAACTACAATAGTTAATTTACTACTGTTTAATCAAGTATTCGCCGGTTAATGACGAAATTGCCGCTCTAAATAGCTCAATCGCTGTGTTGCAGAGTCAAAAGCGATCGGGTTGGGGATATTTCCTGAGCCGACCAAATTTAAGATTTAATTTAATTAATATTAAATATTTAATTATTGATTGATAGATGAATATTAATTAATTATTTAATTTAAGATTTTTTATTTAATAAGATTTTTTAGAAACATTATTTTCTTTTCACAGTGAAATGAATTATTTGCCTTAATATTAGAATATTATTATTCATCCAGCACACGATATTTATTTGACTTGCCGTTTTATTTCAGTCAGGACGAAATGGCTTCACAAGACATACCATCGATGATTGACTTCATTTATACGAAAAACCCGGTAAAATTAATATACATAGGATATTCTCAAGGAGGAAGAACCGGTCTCATGGCTGCCACGAATTCGGCCGTTTGTGATAAGGTTCGTCAATAGAATAAATTTGCATTAACATGGTAAGCTAAGAGCTTCCAGTAGTCTTCTCTAAGTAAAGTTATTCATAGAGTTCAATGCTGAATAAAAATGTCACTCTGATTTTTGATAGGAATTAAATTGCATATTATAACATATTGATAACAATTTGAATATAATACAAATTAAATTACCGTATTCACTATACGAATTTTTGTCGCAAATGCATCATTTAAATAGATTGCCAACATCGAAGACAACAGTTATTTTGGGCAGTCCAACTTCAGCATTTAATGCAGCATTCAAATGAGCCTAGTCATAGCCAAAATAGAGTGAATCATGAACAATATTACTCAGAATTAGTTGGTTAGCTGTGCGTTACACTTGTTCGACTATCCCTTCAATTTTGGAATCCAGTTATCTCAAATCCATGCAACAGTAATAGAGCTTATGACTTATTGTAACGTGTAATGACTAAAGAAAGCTCCATTCAAAAAACAAATTTTATATTCAAGTACATAAGACGTTCTTTCATAAATATGTAGTAATAACTCTGCTGTTACAAATTGTTTTCATCTATACAAATTTCAAAACTATATTTAAGCATTTTTATATCTAAGATTTTAAGCTTTTAAGGTCCACAGGTCCAAGCAGTATCCCGACACGATAAGTATTGTGGATAAGGGCACGAATACCACAATATATTAACGGTTACAGGCTTCAAACACTCAAAAACCCACACAATCTTCGACAAAAATCTATAAGATAAACTCTCCCGACATTTAGGTTGTCAACCGCTTGCTATATACCATGACTTAATTGCTATTGAGAGCTCCGGCAGGTTCCCAGAAACTATCATGTATAGTTGAAGTGGCACGCTTCGGCACACTGACACGGACTGCATCTTAAAGAGAGAGATTGGAATTTCAAAATCGCTAAGAAAATTTTCCTAGATTTCTAAGAAAGTTTTGCGAAATCGAATCTCATCGGGAATCGAAGTTACAAATGCACCAACTGTAGATAGTTACTTAGCTTATTTGTGTTCTTTTTCGACATTACAGAAAATATTGAGTTTCATTTGTAATTTTTAATGTATAAATGTGGCTTACACTTCTTTTACAGTCTATTTTGCGACTTTGTCTTTTCCAATGATGCCTTTTTACTGGCTATAAGGATGAAGAATTTCATTACTTTTCAGCGAAAAAATTTTTCGTGAATGAACTAAAGTTCAATGAAGAATGTGAGATTGGTCGTTATAGATTTAACGAAATTTTAATTTTTCGGTTTCAGTTCTGCTACCTAATTTTTACTTATTTTTTTTTAATCTACAAACTCAACTTTCATCTCCCTTGATTCTGATTTTTCACATTTCTTGAGATTTTTTTATACTGGTGCACCGAATATTTTTGTGAAAATGTTTGAAATAAATATTAGTGAATTTTCAAACATTTATGAGCTCTTGAAAAATATTTTTGATTTTAAATATAAAATTAATATTACAGCTCAAACTCATGATCGTCCTCGCTAGTACCGGAGCTCGCACCCTAACAGATGCCGCTGCAGGGAGAGCCCTCGTGTTGTCAAGGATTTGGGTATGAATTCATTTTAGTCTTTACTACATTATTCATCATTTTTTTGAGAACTAATAATTCCCATTCAGAAGATATTATATGCGAATAATGACCCTATTTTACAACCGTTGAAGTCATTGATCCAGGGGCATTGGAATGTGCTCAATAGTTATTCTTTTTATCTGTATGAACATTGAACAATGACAACTTTCGGAACGTAATCAATCAACAATTTTTTACGAGTATTAAAAGGGATCCAGCCAAAAAAATCCTAATTTGGAAGAAACCGAATAAAAAAATATTCTTCCAAAATATTTGAAGGAGTTTTTTTCAGATTATAGCGTTTGAATACAGCAATTTTTTTCAAACTGAGACATTTGTAATCTAATGAAAACCCAACTTTTACACAACGCTATCGCATGAACTATGTAGACTAAATTAAATTGGTTATAGCTTCCTACATTATATTTCTGTCTTTCAAATATTGATAACGCAAATGCTAGACAAATTTTGTTTTCAATAACACCTTGGCATGGCCGACTCAACAACAGTACCTACATTCGTTAAGATTAAATAACATCGTAATGAGTAGTAATTTGACAGGGTTGAAGCAGTAACTGACAACAACAGTGCATTCACTCGTTAAGATTAAATAACATCGTAATGAGTAGTAGTTTGACAAGGTTGAAGCAGTAACTGACAACAACAGTGCTTTCACTCGTTAAGATTAAATAACATCATAATGAGAAGTAGTTTTACAAGGATTGAAGCAATAACTGACAAAATGTCTCTGCAGACGCTCCTTGAATTCATCGGAAAGCCAGAAATCATGTCTCGTAACTTGGGCATCGCGCCAGTGTTGGGCCTCATATGCAAAAGAAAATCTTTACTGAGTGACGTGTGTGCCTTGCTTGTGTCCAAATACTTCGGGACGCGACTCAAGGGAGATGATCTCTACACATACAGACAGGTACTTTACTTAATAATTTTCCAATATTGTTATTCTTTAATCCTCAGTCTTTTAGCACATTTTCTCATTTTGGAAAAAATGCACTATTGTGCTCGCCATGTCCGTCCGTCCATCCGTCTGTCTGTCCGTCCGTGACTTTTCATCGACGAAAAAATGCGCTCTCTGTCACTCATTGCAGTGAGTACTGAGTTATATTTTTTTGCCTACATGTGCTATGCCTTTCCTAAAATCAAAAATTTCGAAACACAGGTAAAGAACTTTCTCCTTCTCCGCATTTTCCATTTATTTCTGTATAAGATATTTTTTGACAACACACTAGCTGCAGAGTATTTCATGTTCTTATTATAGTGATTTTGCATAATCATCTTGACTTCTTCGCGCAGTAAGCTATAGGCACAAAACCCATTTTTGATCGCAAAATTTTCTTCAAATTCAATGTTGCAAAGGCTCAATTTTTTCCTATTGCTGAAAACAACCATGGACATTACAGTCAATCGGTATCTGCATGTGTTTCATATCATAAGGTTTTACTTTTCAGGACATATTAATATGTTTTTGCAGCTAGCATCTAATGAAACGCAAAATTTTGTGTCATTTATAATAAATTTCTCAACTTCAAAGAAGTCCACATCGATTTTTCTACTTTTTTAATCATGCAATGTTAACATCAGTATCGAAATTGTACAACTACTCATATTGACGTACATTAAAATGTCTTGTACATGCAAAGTGAGATAAAGTTATTTGTTTTTAATTTTCAGGATCACTTACCGCTGATATTTGCAAATCTTTTGGATGGGTCGTCAGCTCGCCAGTTTTCCCATCAAGAGCAATTAACACGTGTGTTTAAAATTACATTCTTATTTACTGCATTTTAGCTTTGTTCCGCGAGTAGTTTTTTTTCATTTAAATAATAAATTCTAAAAACCCTTGTGCGTCAGCATGTGCCTAACCTAATTTTTTTTTTGTAAAAATACGAAGAAACCGATTTTATATACGGTAGATCTGTTCCAATTTTTTCGTTGAAATCTGGTTGAATTTAATAAATAACTTATTTTCATAACAGCCATACATAACATTATTAAACACTTTCTCCGTTATCTCTATTTCTATAGAAGAAGAATAGGTTGAAATAAAATATATTATCGTATATTTTATACATATATTATAACATCAGGCAATATCTGATATTAAAGAGCGATAAAAATTAAATTTGAGCAATAGACAGAGAATATGTTTCCCATTCTCCCTATTACATAATTACGTTCATATGTGATGATAAGCAAAAGACCTTAAATTAGTTTGTGTGTCCAATTTGCAATCTTTTACTCTACAAATTCATTATGACATGATATGTAAATCTAATGTTTGCACTTTCACAGAAATCAACAGTGTATTTGAAGCTCATTTCTGGAAACCCTAAAATTTATTCTGCGACTCGTTGGTTGTAACTCATTTTTTTATTCTTAGTTTAATTGTAATTGTTCTTTTTTCAGAATTTGATGAAGCGTAAACTCTTTTGCAGGCGGTGTGTTGAGAAAATTTGATTTCGGAATTTTCGGAAACCCTTCCCGGTACGGGTCCAAGGAGGCTCCTGTGTACGACTTAACCACCGTTCAGTGTCCAGTTGCTATATATTGGGCTGACAACGATCCAAGAACTCCAAAAACTGTAAATATGAGCGATAAATAGTAAATTTAATAATTTAATTAGGAGGAGCTGAAACATTTTCCATCATTCGATGCGAGAATCTAATATTGATCATATTTATAGAAGGAAATAAGAAGCTGGGTTAACAGGATTTAAATCATTTGTACATCACTTACGCATTACATTAATCTGTAGTAATTAATGCCTTCCTTAACAAGGATTTATGAAATAATTCCATTAAATGCTATTACAAGCCTCGATTTCCTGATACTTAGGAGACTCTTTTGCTGAAAACATTTTCAAATTTTATTTTACTTTCTACCTACCAAGAAACGATTTCAAAATTCAACCAATTCGTAAAGTATTTTAATACATCATGGATTAATTCGTGTTTTAGTAAATTCAAACACAACTAAGAGGCTAGCTAAAATGAATGAGATATCAACATTCAGATTATGAAATTGAATTTTCAGACGCACATTTGACGAAACGCACATTCAAATACTTCATTTAACGCAACTTTTGAGGCTAAATTTTAATTAAATTGTAGCGAAGTTATCAGAAAGTCACGAAATTTTTACTCGTCCGACTGCACTGCATTAGTGCATGCGGTCATAATTTTCGACCTCATTTCCTAGTCGGAAATTTTTAGACTTTTACACTCGAGTGGGAAACATTTGGCTGGTGAAATGCATTATTATCTGTGAAAAAATTAAACATAAATATTTCAATATTATTTGAGATGTAAGGATCTCCTAAGCAATTCGTTTGCCATAAACAGATAATATTTATAGGAAAATTACTATCAAATTTATGGAAATTTAGACGTAACGGACTTCACTAGCACTCGATGTATTCAATATGAATGAGCATTTTCCATAATACTGTCTTATTAGTGTAAGATATTGAAAAGGGTTAACCTGTAGGACAGAAAGCTTTAATTTTATGTTCGAGACTAATGCTTTGCATAAACGATTGAATGGGATTCAATTGAATTTCATGAACCAGACGCGATTTTAACCGCAAAATACATCTGTTTTATGATTTTGTGGCGTTGTTCATACAAGCATGTCGTTTGAGAAGTGTTCCTTCTTTTTAATCCGCAAGCTAATAGTTGTTCCAGACTAGGTATTATGAGCATTATTTACAGCATGAGTTACGAAGTGTTAAATTAATAATTAATTAAATTACTAATTTAATTAATAAAATACGCATTAACTGTACATATCATTAACTCTAGAGGAATCCATTATAGACAACTGCTAAATTTTTCTAGAAAATTATCAGTCAATTTACGTAAATCCCAAACACACAATTGGGTAGCAAAACTGAGTTCTAGTAAATCTCGGTAAAATGTGACCTTTATATTGCTTTTCATGCATGCATAATTCAAACTTTATTTATATAATGTAATTTTAATAATATTAACAACTTATTTATTTCAGGACGTCGATCGAATTGCAGCAGAGATTCCCAACGTCGTGGCGACAACGCAAGTTGAGAGATATTATTTCAATCACATCGATTTTATCTTTGCTGATCTCGCGAAAAGTCTTGTGTATGATTCCATCGTTCAACTAATGAGTCAATACTAATAAAAATTTTGGTCAACGCTAACGCACCTGATAATGAATATTACAATCTGGCATTAGTTGTTAGATGAAACTTTAGTGGAATAACAGGGATTTGTTTTCTACGCTAATAAATCATTTTGCGTGCAATGAGTTTGCACAGATGTTGTTTTGGTTTATTGCGTTGACTTATTTAGTAGATATATTGAGAGCTATTTCACGCGACTCTCGTGCAATAAGCGGAATCTCGACCACTTTACGTCGTTATTGCACGATCGTCACTGGCTGCGCATGCAGCAGCGCACGCAGTTCAAGGTCGCTGTTCTGACGTTCCGATGCCTTCACGGTCTGGCATCTCCTTTACTCCCAAGATATCACCAGCGCGTTTCTGATCTGTCTATTAGAAGGCGATTGCGCTCGTCATCAACAGAGAACCTCGTCGTACCATCTACACGTCCATCCACCGTAGGCGACAGAGCGTTCCCTGCCGCCGGCAGAAACAATCTGCTGGCTTCTGTGACATCGGCTCCTCTGTTGCAGGTGTTTCGTCGACGCCGAAAGCAGGAACTTTTTCGTAGAGCATATGAATCAAGTGCCTAATCATTTATATCCGTTCTCATCTTTTCCCGTGTCTATTTATTATTCGCATGCTATTTTAATTCTGTGTAACTTGCCCTCGAAGTGCGTTTGAAATAGATGCTTCGATTACTTCGTAGAATGATAATAATAAAGCTTCTGGCATTACTCTGAAAATAAAAGCAATTCGAATAAATGTTTTCGTTTCATTGAAGATCGGTTATTATGAGTGTGTTTTCGTTCAATTACCCAAATATAATGCGTTAAAATATTAGACTCAATCTACATGATCGCTATTAGCGATCAATTAATTAGTATTACTCACCGTCATTTAGAATATTTACTAGTTTAGAAACTTCTATTTTAAAATTTGCTGGCAACCGTTGAAAAAATTGGTGATTGTGATCATATCCAAGAGAGAATTTTAAAGAATCAAACACTCCAATAGTTTCAAATTTTTTATTGGAGAATCTAAATGTAATCCAACACCATTTTCAAAATTCGGAAGCCTTGAATTCTTACGAACTTAAATACTGGCATCGCCAAACTGTAGATCATGAACAATTTTTGAACAGAAAAATCTCTTTCCAATACCGAGTCAATCGACCATACCTGCTCTGAGATTAATCTTTCCAATAGTCTCAGTAACTGCAATTCAGAAGCACGTGCCGGAATTGCCACAAACTAAATTTTTACGCCGCGCCCAAAATTCGTGTGTCGCGTACCACTGTTGCATCGCGCATCACTCATGCGACTGCAGGGTTGTGTTAAAAGCTACGAATCGCTCCGATCAGAATTTTAATTTGCAATGTAATGGATTTTGGCCGAGAGTCCTTTCACCATGTTTTAATTCCGGACCATATTTTCTATTGGACGGTGGAAACGCGTTCGACACGCATTCAGATGACAAAACAATGCCAAGCTGAATCAAAGTTTGAAATCGTCGCTGTACTTAATTACTTAATTACTGCAAAAATTGTTCTCTTCACCTGGAAATGTTAAATTTTTTATAACCTAAATGTTTTCTGAAAAATTAAATGTTTATAACCTAAATGTTTCCTAAATGTTCAATAATGGCGCGCGTCAGAAATTTTTTAATAAGTTATATGCACATCTGATGTTAAACAACTAATATAAAAAACAATAGCCGGAAGTCTAACATGATAAGAATCTACTCACCATTTACCATCGACAGTACACATTTTATCAGAGGTCATTCTGGTGTTGGTTTAATTTAGAGACATTTTTCAGTGCTAGTTGTGAAAAGTAAGTTATTCGAGGCATAGCCCTCATATCTAAGTCAACGGCATGCATAAAAAGCCTCCTACCTTGGAAGCTTCCATGCCATAATTATTCATACAAAGCATAATAATTTTCGATTTCTTCTCATTGTAATACAAACTAGATTTTGCTTCAAAATTGCCTAACGACAGCTACGTGATCTTATTTCTATCGACCTTGTGATTATTCGAGCTCAAGATTCCTACATTCTCATAGTGAGTAAGTAGACGTCGAGCGCAATAGACGTAATACGAAGTGCCTTGGGAGAGAATAAATCGATATGCTTTAAATTCAAGTAGATCGTTGACGGTATAGGTTCATCCAATTGTCCACAAAACGTGAAACTAAAGCGATTGAACCCACAACTCGCTTTTATTTAATACGTGATTACACACAGTTTAAACACGTCTTAAGCATACATTAACACAAGCTCTGATGCGCGACTCGTCTACAGCATTCAAATACACGGGATTCAAGCACAAGTCGTCTTCAATACTCAAATACGAATACATATGATATAAACACACAGACTTCGTCATCAACGAGCACATACGATGAATACAAGCACACGAATCGACTAAATCGTTCAAATATACAACATTCAAAAACGCAGCTCGTTCACGTAGAATTATAGTGAAAACTGAATGATACATTAGTCGAAGATACCGATATTTCCGCCTATTAGTATTTAACAATAATATATTGTTTCATTATTTGTTGAAACGTTTAAATAATTCGTAATAGGAAATCACTTCCCAACATCAACAATGAATAAAACTATTCGTTTAATTATAAACCAATTTTATTCACGTCAGACTTTAATTCAACAACTAAGTTTCCTATCAGATAATATCGACAATTTTGATTCCCCTTTTTTATATTACCGTAAATGTTGTATCATGAAATCTGAAAAATTTCTCGAAATCGGCATGAATCTTCGATGAGATACTGAGTGCTGGGTGGCAAAAATTGTTAGACTTATACGGTTTAGTGAAGGTTGAAGTCAGAGTGCGGAGGCTATATAGGAAATGAGGTAGTCTAGATATTCAGGTCCGGCAAGTTTTTGCGCGAATATGTGTGAAGGTCTTATTTTAAAGATTATCTATGTAGCCAAGGCAAGAGGAGATAAATTAGTAGCAATAGTTCATCTTAAAAAAGTTTTTTTATACGGTTGAGAAATATCTTACCAAATAGTTGATGATGGAATATCCTGGTACTCAATGGAAAAATAGAGGGCTGTGAAATCGCTGTCAAGAATTTAGATTACCGTTACAACCCAACTTATTATTATTAGCATACTAGCTGATTGTAGCACCAAAGAACGATTTTGATTTAAATGTAACTACAATAATTCAACCAAGGTGTATAAAATGCGTACGTTCGTTGCGTACGACGGCGGAAATCTCGAGGACAGCATTTTACAGTAGAAAATTTTCCAACCATCATTTATACCAATAATTTAATTTCTCTTAAGATTCGATTTTCATGTAAATTGGTGCAATCCTTCACCTACAGAAAGTTTTAATGTTAAGCGATGCAATTAATTATAATGAAGAATGAGCTTATCGTTATTGTTTTATGGCTGCTCATCGTGCATTTGTCCCGTGACTGTAACCAAGTTTCAGCAGGGACAGGTGTGGCTTCTTCGATTTTCGATCGTATATTAGAAGCGTTTAATGTTTCGGCAGCGAGTAAAAGACCTTTTAATTTTCTTTTCAAGTTTCTTGGAAATCAAAATAATTTATCGAGCACTCGGAATGGGGTTCTGGATTCATTCATAGTGTCTTCATTAAAGAAAAGTGGATTCGAAATTCCATCCGTGAGTATTTGATTTTAAATAAGAAGAACAAATTAACGCATATATTCCTGTTTTTATGTTCTCCATAAAACGCATGATATCAAATCAACCCTTTAAGCATGACTAAATCTTGATTACGAAAGTCTGTAAATATTTTATATTTTTTAATAAAAACAGTCAGGCGCTTTATTAAACTGCTCGTGAGAGATATGGTATGGCACCACATGCCAGGATAATCTTCATCTCTTTTCCTGGGGTGGTAATATGTTGGAGTTATATTAGTGGTGAGAGGCTAGACAAAAACCGTTAGGTCGAAGTAACTGTAACGCGAGTTACATCGAGGCTTGCTCGTTAGCTTCTGAGGGCTTTACTAAGGTTCCCAGCCCATTTATAAACTTCGTACTTCCGCCCACCGGGTTCTTGTCCTCGTGACACATATGCTGTATAAGCTGTCGACTCAGCGTCTGAGGAAAGCTTTCAGTGACACAGTGGACTCATAGCAAACTAGGTCTGCTGGTAAACACATGAGGATTTGCATACACAAACTACTTTCGGGCAATACTAATTGATGATACTGCATTAATTGATTAATAGAACCTTTGAAAAAATTATTCGCGGTGCCAGAGAATCGTTTTCAATAATAAAGATTTTCAAAATTCTGTATAAACTATTTAGCTGTGGAATATCCCTTCGAAATTTTATAAAATGACACCGTCGTAATGGGCTGAGATTCTTCCGCTCTTGCAGATCATCTCGTCTAGCTATTTGTGAGTGAAGTGATACTAGATTATTTAAACTGAAAAACACGTATCTAAACAGGCCTATAAATGAATATAGATAAAAATGTTCGTTTTGATTGTTTTAATGATTTCGTACACCCGACAGCCCGCTAGCATTGCACAGCAAGGCTATCCGTACGAAGAGCATTTCGTTACCACCCGGGACGGATATGTCCTGACGGTTCACCGCATTTCCGGACCACGAGGAACCAAGTCCGGCAACGCAAATCCGAGGAGAAAATCCTTACTTTTGCTGCATGGATTCTTAATGTCTTCGACTGGCTTTCTCGCTTTGGGCCCAGAGTACAGCTTGGGTAAGAAAAATGTATTCATTGACAACCATCTTTTTCAACCGGCGTGATAACATGAAATTTTATGCAAATATTTATGGCGTTAATTATGAATTGTAAACAATCATACCATGGAGATACAAGTTATGTGTTAAATTATGTGCTTATTGACATTTTAGTTAAGCCATCCCAGTGACGTATGCACATGTGTTGAACTCTAATCGAACCAATGAGGTGCAAACTTTTTGGATCGATGCAAAACGGCACTTCATTTTTGAGGACTGCTGCTCGAGAGACGCATGATGTGGTATCGTCAAAAAGACGAAATAAAATCAATCCCCTCTCACACCCCCATATCACAAGATACATATAGCCCCCCTTTTTAATAACCATTTTCGTTGCAGGCTACATCTTGGCCGATGCAGGCTACGATGTGTGGCTTGGCAACTTTCGAGGCAACACCTACAGCCGCAACCATACAAGTCTTAATCCAGACTCTAACAAAAGCTTCTGGCACTTCAGGTAGCGCTACTATTGCCCCGCTATATCATGAATATTTATTACTGCGAATTTTTGGTTTATCAATATTTAAATATTATAATTGAATAAGTTTGCGACTTCTCTGTAAAATAACCAGTTTTGTAAGTATTTATGCGCGTTCGTTTGCACCCATATTTCATGGGGACCAGAACAGTGCAAAACATGTCTTGACTTTGTTTTGAATTTAAATTTCAGTCGGGATGAAATGAGTGAATATGACGTGCCAGCAATGATTGACCACATCATCACTCAGACAGGCCATAGACAAGTGATCATCCTCGGTTTATCCCTAGGTGGAACCATTGGTTTAATGACAGCCACCAACAGAACGGTAGCTGAAAAGGTGAAACAATTTAATGCCCAAACCTTCAATAGAAATTAAGATATAATATGAATCATAAAACAATTTATTTAATGCTAATGATCTTAATCAATTTTGAGGTCACAATACGTATTGAAGAAGAAATAACTCAAGCACGCAAGAAATTAACTGGTCAACAAAAAAATGGTTTTGAGATCATCTTGTGTCGATTGGACAGCATCTACGCAGCTGACTTCAGAACTGTTTTTAATTCTCTAGCATGTCTAGTATTTTTAAATATTCGAATTATTTTGCGAAATATATTCGACAATTATATGCGTATAAATAATAACACTGGTGAACAGAGAAAATTGTTCTGAAATTATTTTGTATGGGTTGGAAAGCATTTCAGCAGCAGATTTCAAAAAAGCTTTGTTTTTTTTCTAACACGTCTAAAGTTTTTTAAATATTTTTTTTTTATGTAGAATATTTGTTATAATTTGCCATTAATATATAGCTGGTCTTACATACGGCACAACAATCTACAGGAACACTTCTGATGTAGCTACTATGTAGCAAGGTGAATACTTTTGAGAGGTATGTATACTTTTGATCATGGGCAAATTCAATAACAATTTGAGGCTTTTATTATTTTTCAGAAGCACAAACTTCATATGATTGTGCACAGAACTAACATCTTTTTATGCTTATTTGTGTATTTAATCTATAAAAATATAATTTTTTATTGGTATAGTATGTTTATTTGTCCATTATTTCCTAATATAGCCCTTGTCACAACTGACATCCAATTACAAATAACAAATATTAATGTGTGGGGATCATTTTGAATATATTTGTAATTATTTATACGCATATTATAGACTTTACTTAAAATTTCAATATGTCAAATGCTAGACGTGCTAGAGAAAAAACAATGCTGGAAACAAGTTGAAATCAGCAGCAAAAATGCATTCCAGCCTGCACAAAATGATCTCAGAACCATTTCTCTATTGACCAGTGTTATATATTTGATATTTTCTCGAGACTTATTTTCTCCCTTAGTTCAAGCTTGAGCTTCAGAATTAAATCGAATTACGGCTAGCGCTTTACGACAATAATCTTTATTTAAGATTGAGCTCATCGTCAGTATCGCCAGTGCTGGATTCCTATCTCTATTCAGTCAACAAAATCCGAGAAACAAGATTTTGTCCCAACTTTGGGTGAGTAAACGAAGAGTTTTGTCGGGTAATTGTCGGTCAATACCTATATTTGACAGTCTATTCTTAGCAAAGCACATTTTATGAAATATTGAGATTTGCCATGTTTTGTCTTTTCTCATATATTTTTGTCCTATCATCTTTTGCATGACACATGAAGAGGAAACTTTTGAAACCGTGCCTTTTATTTCACGCGTACACAATTTTCCATTGATCCCGTCCATTTCTTTAAATGAAAGATAACTCTGCGTATGATAAAGTTTCTAATCTAACGTTCAATTCACAAAACTTAAACATTATGACATTCCAGTTCTTTCGGAATAGAACATACACGCACAACAATTTTACATTCTTTACGGCCGATTGAAATAAATAAATTAAAAACAATCTTGAATCAACCTACGAGTATATTGAACTTCAAACTATATTATAGGTAGTAATTTTACTTTTTAATATTCCAGAGAGTACTGGAGAAAATTGGCATTTATGAAGTACTTCCCCGCAAACTCGTCCTCATTTACGCCTTATCAACGTTTTGCAAAAGAGGATCTCCTGGCCAGAGCATTTGCAGCATTATTCTAGCCTCAGCTCTCGGTGAAAGATTTTTCATCGACGACTTATATGCTATGAAGAAGGTAATATTCCTGAAAACTAAATTATAAACGGAACAATAGGCTGGCACAAAATTTTCAGTCTTATTTTTGAAAACCTAATTATAACATTTTATATGTGTGCAGACTTGAAAACAAAATTTTAAGTCTGCACACTGAATTTGTACAATCTCCCAAGTTAATTAGATGATCTCATTTACAATATTAGACAAATGTTGTCCATACATATTATAAATTTAATTTGTGATGATAAAATTCTTTGTGGGCAATTATAATTTATTGACTACCCATCATTTTCACTAGAAAATGATGCCCGTCATCTTCGCGAACTTGTTCGAAGGTTCATCCGCCAGGACCATTTCTCATGCAGCACAACCAGAATGTGAGATAGAACGCCTAGGTTAAGTGAACAAGTAAATTTGAATAAGGTGTAAAGATGTTGGGATACTTCATTTTTATTATTGTAATAAAAATTCATAATTTTATTTATAAATCAATTAAGTTGTTGAACAATAGTTCATGAGTGCTAATTGTAACTATATCAGCAAATATTTGATACCATGTACATCCAAATCCTGAATGATAGTCATTTGCAAGAAAAATATTGAATTTAGGTGACTCGTGGTGATGTCGAAGCTGTAAGAAGCTCTATTTAGTACTGAAAATATTAAGCGATTACCTTAGAATTATAACTAGTTGGAATTAACTACCCTAATAAAATTTAGGGCTGGGGGCTACTCTGAAATAGAGAACGCATAGAACTCGCGAGAACCCGTAAATCACCTTCTCTACGTCCACTTTTGACCAACATTCCAATCCTTGGATAAACAGCTGGTCTGGAACTAAGGCGGCCACTGAGCGGTCCGTATATAGATAGGGATCGTCCCCGTATAGGGGTCAGCTCTGGCCGAGCCAGCCAATGTGAAAAAATCGCCCCTCCCCTTCAGCCGCAATAAGGATGGGTGGGGCAATCGAATTTATACGTGTTATACTGTCAATGCCTGTTTCTGGAACTCGCTTAATACAAAGAGCATTCTTAGAAAACTCAGAATCGTGGCTGATAATAACACAGGACAACTCTAACCCAACTATGGCGAGTCTGCCGCGGAGGCTGAATCATATCTCAAATTATATTGTCACTAGATTGCTTGAATCACAGATTCAAGCAGCAGCTTTTCTAGTTTTTGTTCTTTTAGATTCAAGTTGAACGGGCTTCAAACACTATTACACCGCGGCTTTCGTATATGCTCGACTTTCCATGCCATGCATTCTAAATTTGAATTTTTGCGCAACGTCTTCTCTCTTAATGGATTTCCTTCTGGCATGGTGTTTACCCAGATTAAGAAATTCATGTCTAAGCGATACAGTGAAGTTGTTCCAGAGCCTGATAGTAGAAAAGTGGTTTACTGTTCTTTTCCATACTTCGGCCATGCGTCCGAAGTCATGCCAAGAGAATTAAAAGATTTGTTTATGAAATACTTTTCGGACATTAACCTTCGTATATTACTGGTTAATAATTTTAAAAATAGGTTCGTTTTTTATGTGCAAAGATAATCCTCCCTTCTCACATGCGATCGTCCCTAGTTTATAAATTTAGTTGTGCACTATGTGCATCTGCGTACGTTGGGATGACGGCACGAAACTTTTACACTAGGGTCGCTGAGCATAAAGGAAGGAGTTATAGGACTGGGCAGTTACTATCGCACCCTCCTCATTCGGCTGTGCGCACTCACGCCGAAGAGTGCAACGTTCCGGTGTCCGACACTGACTTTAAGGTTTTAGCTTCTAGTTCTGGTGCTTCCGATCTGCGCATTTTGGAATAATTGTACATTTGTAAAGAGAAGCCTAGTGTAAATGCTGCCTACAGTTCTTATCCATTGAATAGTTGTGAATAGATAGGTATTTCTTCATTATTCTGCCCTTTGCCTGTAAATTTTGGTTTCAACTCCTGTTTTTTTTTTTGTTCTTATGACTCCAAACTTTATTGATTTTCTGACTGTATATGTGTTCTAGATTTATCGAACTGACGATGGAGCTGGTCTCCGAAACGTTTTCAATAGAGAAATGCTGAATTTTTGTGGAGTTTTCCTCGCTTTTAAATTTCTAATACCTCAAATTATGTTATGGTAGTGCATAAAATACATGTATGTGGAGTTTGAACCTGATTAAGGTAATTCAAATACGTTTAAATCAAGCATCTAGATCATGTATGAACGGAATATTACAGTATTATGAATATTGTTCGTATGGGCAGACATAGGGTTCCATAAGTTTGACTTCGGGGAGGCGGAGAACCGGCGTCGCTACGGCCATGTCACGCCCCCGGCATACAACGTATCAAGGATACCTTGCCCCGTGGCGCTCTACTGGGCAGAAAATGACCCTACCACAAAGACCAAGGTGCATCATGATGAACCACAGCATAATATTATTTATTATGAAATTGAATGAGGTGGATACTTCACTCAAAAATCATACAAAATATTAATCACAAATTTATATTGTTCTTAATAATAATTATTATTTGATACCTCACTTCCCGTTATAATTAATGAAAAAATAATTAAGTGGAACGTTCTTTTGAATAAGGTGTAAAGTTGATTAGATACTTCATTTTATTATTAATATGTGGCGCATTCCTTTCCTGTATGTGGCTTTTTCCTAAAAAAAATTATTTTTACGAGATTTGTAACAGTAGATAAATATCTTAATGCATAAAGATAATATCAAACTATAATTATACAATGACTGAAACCAATTTTTGGCATAACGAACATATGATGGAAATTCGTATATTTATTTACATACTGGCAGCTAATTTCGTGGTTTTAGAAGCTAATAAACTTTCAAATTTAATTATTAGTGATATCCGCAGTAAGTTTGTTCAATTTAGAGTTGTTTCTTAAATCAAAATCTGTGTTTTAAGTCTTGGTGCTGTCTGGAGAGCAAACCGTGTACCCTATCAGAAAATACAAAAAAATATTAACTGTGGAATGTGGCTAAATCTTTTACAAATATTGCACTCTTTTGTTTAGAAATAAGAACTTATTCCTATTTTCAGGACGTCCGGATGCTTGAGGAAACCGTACCAGGCTTCATAAGGAATTACCGCGTCAACAGCGAGTCTTTCGATCATATAGACTTTATTTTCTCTAAGAAAGCTAAGACGCTAGTTTACCAAGATATCGTCGATCTCCTAAATCAATACTGAAGCGCAAACTTTCGAATAAAACGCTTGAATTTTGTGGTTATATTTTCACGATTACTTTTTTGATAATTTAACGCGTTTCTAATAGTGGAAAATGCATTTTTTGAAGGTATTACTTTATATGACTCGGTATAGGTTTATGGTTAAATTTTCTAGAGATTTCTGGTAATTTTTCATTGCAGAATTTTAAATTAAGTAAAAACAGAAAGTGGTTTGTTTTGCAGTCAACTATCAACATTAGATTCTTCAGAGACGAACAAATTAATGCAAAGAATTTTTTCTAATTTTTCTTTTTAGTTTAAAATTTTATATTGCCTAGATTAATTGTTATCGTTGGTTTTTCGTCTATTACTGATTTTTTCAGAGTGTAAATTTCAGTATAAAAAGTCAGAAATGATTCCTCATGAAATATATTTGATGTTCGTAATAGAGATTCTAATAATCGCGTGCGATTAGCCTAATTTTAGATTGAATGCGTCATGTGTTTATTCTAAAATAATATGAAAATTTTTTTGTGCATAGAATATGGAACTGATCGAATTCTTCTGAGTGATAAAATGTTTGTGATTCTTCTTATCGGTGATGGCTTTTGCTTGCGTTTCGTTTCTCACTTATGAGGAATTTTTTTCTTGCTCATTGCAACGGTTCGGGGCCGGCGCCGCTTGCCTGTCTAGCCAGCCTTCTCCTCTGTGATGTGATTTATCAAATTATATGTGCTTGAGTCAAAGATCGCGCCGATATTGCGCCATCTCCACTGGCTGCGCATGCTGTAGCGCACGCAGTTCAAGGTCGCTGTTCTGTCGTTCCGATGCCTTCACGGTCTGACGCTTCCTTATCTCACGGAAGGTCTGCAGCACGTGTCGAATTTACCTTCTAGAAGACTACTTGTGAGAAATTCCTCATTTCCCACCGTCAATTTGTGTATATGCTAGGGTTTATTTACGGGATCTATTGTTGGCTTGGAATTGTTTAGTATTTCGTTTCTCTAACTTCATCTGAAGAAAAAGTATTTAGTCGGGATCAGGGGTTCTGCCGCGGGTCTTGGGAGGATTCATCATCAATAGTTATCAATTGCATTAAATGATATTTGCCGACAGTGCCAATCCAAAGTTATACCGCCTTCAAGCAGTGTTCAATCTCTGTTCAAAGTCATTATTCATAGCTCAAAACCTTTACCGCCGTTTTTGAACCGGTGAACAAGTTACTTCAATCGAAGTTACTGCAATCGAATCAAGATGGTATTTCTACCATCTTGCTATAATACCTGTTGCTCTATCCCTTGGTTTATATGAATGTCGTGTGAATTTCGTTTTGTTTATTTATTTTTGCTCTATTAAATTCATGTATCAAATCTGTTGGGAAGTTGGACCTAGTTTACGGATAAAATCAAATTTATTCAAATGCAAATTTCATGCTTTAAATTAAAATACTAATTCTTCCAAATTAAATCAAATTGATTTTTTATTTAATGATCTTCGCTCAAGAAGTGCGTTATTTTTTTACGTTACCTGCGAAGATCATTATTTAAACCTTAGTCTTAAGTCTTTAGCTCAAGTTTCTAAAGCATCAAAACCTTCTACTGTCCTTTCTATTTTTCATGTCCAACTTCCCACCCCTTAAACTGATTTCCGCTATTTTCCATCAATTATTCTTCCTTCATAAAGTGTTTACCACACTGGGCATTTAAACCTCAGGTTCGTAATGTTTTCATAGTACAAAAGTGAATTTTGATCATTTATTTAAACTATAATTTGTTAAACTTTCGCAAGATTTATGATTTAAATTCATTTCTTCACAGTATACCTTAATCCGATCCTGAGACTGACGGGCCGTAATTTATTTGTACGTCACGCATTCGTCACCACTTTCTTTCAACGAGTGGACCAACCAGCCATCTTCACCTTCATGTTCACCATATACTGAAGATTACACTTTTCGATTCGGTGCTCATTGACTAAATATTTTCGCGATTACTATGATGAAGCTAAATCATTCAAACTCAAACTCCAGATTTTGTTTGATAAATTAAAATAAAAGCTTCCCAGTATACTTTTTTAATTAACTCCCTGTCGATTGTGTGAAATACCTCACAGACTGCGTTCATCACTAGCGGACCTCGTCATTCCATCTACACGTCTATCTACCGTCGGCGACAGAGCGTTCCCGGACGCCGCCAGAATCTGGCTTCTGTAACATCGGCTCCTTTGTTGCAGGTGTTTCGACGACATCCAAGACGAAACTATTTCGTAGAGCCCATGAATCAAGCGCTTATTCATTTGTATCCATTCTTATCTTTTCTCGTGGGTACTTATTTTTTTGCTTGCTACTAAACTTATGTGTAACGTGCCCTTGAAGTTCGTTTAAACCAGACGCCACGATAAGTGCTCTGTAGAATAATAATAATAATAAAGCGACCATCATTACTCTGAAAATAAACTCAAATTGAAGCAAATTTATTCGTTTCATTGAAGATCGGCAATTAGTTGATGTGTTTCCATTCAGTGACCCAAAATATATTATGTTTAAATATTCAACTCAATCTACATGACCATCATTAGCTATCAATTGTTTTCTCAGAACGGCATTTTTAACAAATTCCTTATGAGTCGCTTTCACCCTTTGAATCCCATTTATTTCGAATCGAGTTATTATGCGCAGTTATTTAGAATATTTACTAATTTAGAAACTACTAATTTAAATTCGCTAGCAACCGTTGAAATTATTGGTGATACTCTCCACCTGTTTCACCTGTAATTGTTGAATTTTTCATAATCTAAATTTTTTTCCTGTTGTGTGCAATGATAACTGGTCCAGAAATTTCTAAGTAAACTAATGTGCACCGTCCTTAGGATCCTTAGTATTATTAGTATAGATTTCGGACGTAGCAGTCCCAGGCCACGATGGATCGCCGCCTCTGGCTATCGCGCATCCGCCCTCATTTGGGCCAGCTGATGCACGACGCTGTTGCTTGCTTCTCGCCGCTGGTAGTGTTGCAGGGGAGGTCGATCTGGGGTTGTGTCCAGGAACACGTCCAGTCGTACCTTGGAGATCTCCAGGGTGAACACACCCTTTCTTAGTTGCTTTAGTAAGACGTTAAACAGCCTCTGCCCTGCCACGGAAAGTGATCTTCCCGCAGGGATTGAAATCTGACCGGCGAACTGTTAGGCAGTGGGGGGATCTTGCACTGTCTCCCCCCTTCTCTCGTTATGATATGTCTCAATCCTGAAGGTCTCGCACTTGAAGTTTGGTGCCATTACGGTTATCATTTTCCATGCATACAGAATGACATACCTCTCCCGTCTCCTCTGCAGTGAGTACAGACCCGGGTGTTTCCGTTGCAGCACTGCGCCGAGTGTTAACGGGGTTCAAAGCTGGCAGCAGTATTGAAGGATTGGTATTAGAAGGGCTCTGCAGAGTGTAATTATAGGTTCCGCTTCTCCTGTTCTGAACGTCTGCCAGATCTACCCCATCTGTCGCCTACCTCTTGCGGTTAATGCCGGTATGTGATAACCAACATTGACCTGAATATTCATCAACATTTCTAGATCGCGAACGGGTCGCTTCTTTTCGATTTCCGAGTTGTCAGGTGCTAAGCATAGCGGTGCTCTATACCAGCTCTTCCGCTATACCTCTGTATCTCAGAACCTCAAACGTGGTCCCGTTGAACTGCATGTTATTCACTTGTGCTCAATCATATACTGCAGAGAGGTCTTCTTGCAACTTCTCGCACTCCCTATAGAGAGGTTGACGTTAAACAACCAATCTAAAATACATTAACCGGATATATAACTTGAAAAGCATATATTCACCATGTATCATCTGCAGTATAAATTTTATCAGAGGTCTTTCTGGTGCCGATTTAATCGCGAGATGTAGCCATCATTTTAAAGTCAGAGGCATACATAAAAAGCCTACAACTCTTTAAGGAAGCTTCAATACCATAATAATTCATAATTTCGCCTCATTGCAATACCAACTAGATTTTGCTTCAAAATTGCGTAACGAGAGCTAAGTGATCTTATTTTTCGGCCGACCTTGTGCCTATTCGAGTTCAAGATCACTACATTCTCACAGTGAGTAAGCAGACGTCGAGCGCAATAGACGTTATACAGAGTGCTTCGGCACAAATTGCCGAGTACAACTGATTTTCTCTATAATAAATCACTTGTTTTCCTCAGAACTGTGTTGGTAATTTAATTGNATCCGATAGTTTCAGAAAAATTTTATCAGTGTTTAAGAGTAAATTCGTACCACAACAATGTTGACATCAAAACTGCGGTTAAAACTTATTCAAATGCAATGAAAACTTTTGTGATGTGATCAGTTTTAGTATTTCGATCAGATTGAGAAAATAAATTGTGATGCTTTAAATTTAAGTAGATAGTTGACGGTATAGGTTCATCCTGTTGTCCACAAAACGTGAAACTAAAGCGATTGAACCTACAACTCGCTTTTAATACGTTACTACACACAGTTTAAACACACTTCAGCATACATTAACACAAGCTCTGATGCGCGACTCGTCTACAGCATTCAAATGCACGGGATTCAAGCGCAATTCGTCTTCAAAACTCATATACGAATACATATGATTTAAGTACACAGACTTCGTCATCATCGAATAAATCACTCTAATACACAACATTGAAAAAACACAAATTGTTCATAAAGAATTAGTAAAAACTTAATGTTAGATCATTCGAAAGTACCGATATTTCCGCCTGTTAGTATTTAACAAAAATATAACGCTTCATTATTTGTAGTAACGTTCAAATAATTCCTAATATAAAATCACATCAAAACATGAAAACAATCAATAAAACTTTTCATTCAAGTAACAACTAATTTTATTCACGCAAAGACTCGAATTCAACATTTATGCTACTAATTAGATAATATTGACAATTTTAATTCTCCCTTTTCATATTACCGTTAATGTTTTATCATGAATACTGAAAATTAAATCGAAATTGTCCCGAATATCGGATTGAAGACAGAGGGCTTGATGGATGAAAGCGTTAGACTTATATGGTTTAGTGAAGGTTAAGATTAGAGGGTGAAGGCTAGGAAAAAAGGCAGCCTAGAAAAAATTAATTATAAGGTCCTGCAAGTTTTTGCGACAATGTAGGTAAAGTTAATATTGTGAACGTCATCTATGTAACCAAGGCATGTGGAGAGAAAATAGTAGCAATAATTCATCTTAAATATGACTTTATTCCTTCACTTGAGAAATATTTCAACAAAAGTTGATGACGGCATATCGAGGTCCTCAACGGGAAAATAGAAAGCCGTGAAATCCTGTTAAAATCCTTGCCAAGAATTAAAATTCTCGTTACAACCCAGCTTCCTATTATCATACTAATTGGATGTAGCACCAAGGAAAGTTTCCAATTTGGATTAAGCTGCAATCATACAACCCATGTGTATTTCCTGAAATACGTACGACGGCAGAGGACAGTATTTTATAAAAGAATATTTTCCAACTATTTTTTATGCCGGAAACATAATTTTTTCTCATTATTCTATTTTCATGTGAATTGGTGCAATCCTTCACCAACAGAGTTTTAATGTTAAGCAACGCAATTAATTAAAATGAAAAATAAGCTTATCGTTATTGTTTTATGGCTGCTCATCGTGCATTTGTCCCGTGACTGTAACCAAGTTTCAGCAGGGACAGGTGTGGCTTCTTCGATTGTCGATCACATGTTAGAAGCGTTTTATGCTTCGGCAGCGGGTAAAATACCTTTCAATTATCTGTTAAAAATTATAGGAAATCAAAATAATTCGTCAGGCACTCGGAATGGAGTTCTTGATTCATTCCTACTGTCTTCATTAAAGAAAAACGGAGTCGAACTTCCTTCGGTGAGGTTTTTGATTTTAAATAAAATAAACGAATTAACGTGTATTCCCTGATTAGATTTTATCCATAAAACGCGAAAGACTAACACCAACAACTTTTCAACACGAGTAAATCTTGATTGTGAAAGTATAAAAATATTTTATATATTTTTAATAAAAACCCGTTGATGTTTCTGCATTAATTTATCAATTGATCATTTGAAAAAATCATTGGCGGCGTCAGAAAATCGTTTCCAATTATAAAGAATGTTAGAGAGCTGTATAAAATAATTAGCTGTGGAAAAGTCCATTGAAAATATGTAAAATGACACCGTCGTAATTGCTAAAGTTCTTACGCTCCTGCGGACCATCTTGTCTAGCTCTTCGCGAGTGAAGTGATACTAGATTACTTAAACCGTATAACAAGCATCCAAGCACGCCGAAATAAAAATATTATTGAAATGTGTGTTGTGATTATTTTAATGATTTCGTGCACCCGACAGCCCGCTATCATCGCACAGCAAGGCTATCCGTACGAAGAGCATTTCGTTACCACCCGGGACGGATATGTCCTGGCGGTTCACCGCATTTCCGGACCACGAGGAACCAAGTCCGGCAACGCAAATCCAAGGAGGAAATCCGTGCTTCTGATGCATGGTATTCTTATGTCTTCGACTATGTTTCTCGCTTTGGGCCCAGAGTACAGCTTGGGTAAGGAAATTGTGTTCCTTGGCAATCATATTTTTCTACCTGCGTGATAACACTGAATTTTATGCGTAGGTTTATTGCGTTAATTATTAATTGTATACAATTATGTCATGTAAGTACAACTTACGTTTTTAATTATTTTCTTTTGGACATTTTTATCAACCCACCCTAATTATAAATGCATATGTGGTGAACTTCAATCAAACCAATGCGGTGCAAACTTTTTGCCTTGCTGCAAAACGGCACTTCATTTTTGAAGACATTTACTCGAGAGACGCAAAAAGCCATTTCGTCGAAAACGGCTAAATGAAATCAATACCCGCATATAACAAGATACCTATATTCTCTTTTTAACCACTATTTTCACTTTGTCATTTCAGGTTACATCTTGGCCGATGCAGGCTACGATGTGTGGCTTGGTAATTTTCGAGGCAACACTTACAGCCGCAACCACACAAGTCTTAATCCAGACTCTGATAAAAACTTCTGGCACTTCAGGTGGCGCTCCTATTTCCAAATAAAAATTAAGGGTGGCGCATTGATGATTATAGGTGGCGATTGGTAGATTACAGGTGGCGTAACGGTGGGTGGCCCAATCTGCCAAAAATAGACGGAGCACCAATAAATCGAGAGGGTGGTGGGTATAGGTGGCAGTATCGGTGAATCATCGATGATTTATATGATCTGAATCATAGATGGCGCATTTCAGGAAAAATCTCTTGTAAACCACCGATAATCTTTTGTCCAAACTGCACAGTGCACAAAAAAATTTGCCTCTGTGATTTTTCCAACGAAGGAAGGACTTGGGTTGCGGTTCATTCGAGATCCAGACGTCTTGCAATGTGTAGGCGCCCATTTGCGGTGCTTGCAATATGGCGATCAGTTGAGACTAATTAATTGTCTCATTAAGTATGAATTATATGGTTCGATTATATGTGTTTCACAATATTTATATTATTCTCAAGTTACCGCATTTATCTAAAGCCACGTTGAGGTGGTCGACAACGGCTCGGCATCACTACAGCGCAGCGAGCTGGTACACATGTAGACGTTGGGTTGGAGCACGTCGGCGTTGAGCTTCTTTCTCATTAGTCTTTAACACATCCTGCGTGGAATATTAGCTTCCCGGGTAATTTACTTGCCAAAACAGTATTCTCTTTAAGCAGAGGGAGACGATAGTAAAATTTAGCTATTTTTGGGAAATTTTTTTAAACCGTCAGAATATTACTTCGAATTAACGTCTACATTTATTTAAGTGGTGTCGATGTCTTGCCTACGAAAAAGATTAAACATTAGGTTGGAGAAAAATAGTGACACGAAGTGATGAAGGCATTTCACGCCTAACATTTCAAAATCATCGAGTGATGATTCGTTAAAACACGCCAGCATATTCTTGTAGAAAATATTTCGAATCAAACCGCTGTTAAAATTGGTGTTATGTTTATATTACGAAACTGTGCTACATATCCAGACTTTTTTTCGTAGCTTTTACTTTGAGGTGAACCATCGTTTGTTGTGGATAAACGAAGTATCTTCCATCAGCTGTTTTCTCGAATATAGCAGCATTTTTCTCGACACTTCTTCAAGTCGATTTCTCAGGAGTTATGTGTATGTTACTATGATAATTTGTTCCTGCTACATGTCTGACATTATTACTTGTGCTGCCAGGATGGATTTGCACACGTAGTCCTCAGAATATGATCGTTTGGAACAAGACCAGTAAATGCAGACGCATCGGATGTAAAGCTAAAGGAAAATTTTTTATCGACTTCATATTAAAGGTCGCCATCGGTGGCCCATCGATGCGCCGCCGGTGCCAATGGGCAGTTATTGGTGGAAGATGAGTTTTTGGGGCAGGGTGGCCATAGACAGGTTATAGGAGGAACATAGGCCGGACTCGCCATCGGTGCTCCACCTATAATTTCCACACATAGTCCCCAATAATTAATCATCGATGCTCCCCCAATAATTTTTATTTGGGTTACCTCGCTATATCATGAATCTTTATTACTGGGAATTTTAAATTGAACAAAACGTAAAACTTCAAATTGAATAAATTTTTGCGACTTATCTGCATAATTATCAGTAATGCAAGTACGGATGTGCGTTCGTCTGCACCCATATATCATGGGGACCAGAACAGTGCAAATTGTATCTTGACTTGGTTTTTAATTTAAATTTCAGTCGGGATGAAATGAGTGAATATGACGTGCCAGCAATGGTTGACCTCATCATCACACAGACAGGTCATAAACAAGTGATCTTTATCGGCTATTCACAAGGTGGAACGACTGGTTTAATGACAGCCACCAACAGAACGGTAGCTGAAAAGGTGAAACTATTTTATTTTACAACATTCAGTAGAAATTAAGATATAAAGGTAATATGACTCATAAAACAGTTGATTGAATGCTAATGATCTTAATCCTTTTTGAGATAATAATATTGAAAATTATTATAAAACAACTACGAAAGAAAATAACCATATTTCATTAATCCGTAAAAAAATCGTATAAATGGTTCTGCGATTATTTTGTGTCGGCTGTACAGCAATTCCACAGCAGATTTCAAAACAGGCTTTGTACTTTTCTTAAGCACGCTTAGTTTTTTAAATCTTTCTTTTTCGAGGAAAATGTTATGATAATTAACTTTTAACTGGTCCTACAAACGGAACCGCAAACTACAAGAACACTTCTGATGTAGCTATATGAGTACTTTTGGGTGATATGCATATTTTTGATCATGTCCGAATTCAATAACAATTTGAGGTCTTAGACTTTTTTTATGAGGCACAAACTTAATATGATTGTACATCGAACTAGCGTCTACGGTCTTTTTATGTTTATTTGTGCATTATATCTATAAAAATATTATTATTTTTATTTTTATAGTATGTTTATTTGTGCATTTGGTCTTAATATAGCTACAGTCACCACAGACATCTAATTACAAGTTATATAATTTAATGAACATGGATCACTTTGAATAAATATGTTATTATACATACAGATATCTGAGTTATATAGATTTTGCTTAAAAATACAATTATCTCAAAAACGTGCTAAAGAAGAAACAATGCCAGTTTTGAAATCAGCGGCAAAAATGCTTTCCAGCCCATACAAAATGATCTCCGAATTATTTTCTCTATTGAAAAGGCAGTGTTATTGAAGACGTTCTCGAAACTTATTTTGTCGCTTAGTTCAAGCTTGAGATTTGAAATTAAATCGAATTATGGCTAGAGCCTTAAGATAATTATTTTTATTTAAGATTGAGCTTATCGTCAGTCTCGGCAGTGTTGGATTCTATTCGTTGCAAATCAAGATTTTGTCGCAACTTTGGGTGAGTAAACGAAGTGTTAATCCTGTCGGAGAATAGTCAGTTAATTCTTGACAGAGTATATGTTATGAAAAATGATGATTTGGCATATTTCATATTTCCTAATATTTTTCTTTCATATCATCATTTGCATGACACATGACGAAGAACTTTTTGAACCCATTTCTTATTGTTCCAGGCGTTCACAGTTTTCAGTTAGTCTTATGTAGCTAATCTTACTTTCAATTTATAAAACTTGGACATTAAACCATTTCCCACTTTCGAAATAGAATATACACCCACAATAATTTTATCTTCTTCACTAACGACTGAAATAAGTAAAATAAAAATAATCTTGAATGAGCCTATATTGAACTTCAAATCATATTATGGGCAGAAATGTTTTTTTTAACATTCCAGAGACTACTGGAGAAAATTGGCATTTATGAAGTACTTCCCCGCAATCTTGCCCTCATTTACGTTGTATCTACGTTTTGCAAAAGAGGATCTCCTGGGCAGAGCATTTGCAATAATATTCTTGCCTTTGCTACCGAGGAAAGAATTTTCGTCGGCGACGAGGTAATTTTCCAGAAAACTAAATTTAAAACAGAACAATAAGTTGAATCAAAATTTCTAGTGTTATTTTTTGGAGCTTAATTATAACATTTTCTCATTCGCTCTATTCATCCTATATACTTTAAGTCTGCACCCTGAACTTATACAAACTCCCGTGTCAGTACAAAATATTCAGAACACTATTTTCAGCTTCTTTCTGCTTGCCTCATATACAATTTTAGATAAATAATAAATTGTCCCATCACATGCTAAATTTGTATTTATAATTATAAAAATATTTGTAAGCAATTAGAATTTTCGGTTACCCATCATTTTCACTAGGAAACAATGCCCGTTATCCTCGCGAACTTCTTCGAGGGTTCATCCGCCAGGACGGTTTCTCACGCATTACAACCAGCAGGTAAGATTTAACACCTTTTCAAGTATGGGTTAATCAATTTAGTAGTTGAACAATAGTTCATGAGAGGCTAATTGTGATGATATCAGCAAATAGTTGACACCAAGTACATCCAAATCCTGAATGATTGTTATTTTGCAGAAAGAAAATATTGAACTCAGGTGACTTGTGGTGATCTCTATCCTGTGAGAAGTTTTATTTATTACTTAAAATATTAAGAGATTATTTTAGAATTAAAATTAGTTTGAATTAACTAGTGCCTAGAAATTTGTGTAAATTGAACCCAATAAATGCAATTTATCAACTCCAATACGTTCTAAATTGAGCATCTAAATAAAATATGAGTGGAATATATAATATTCGTATGGGCAGACATTGAGTTCCGTAAGTTTGACTTCGGGGAGGCGGAGAACCGGCGTCGCTACGGCCATGTCACGCCCCCGGCGTACAACGTATCCAGGATACCTTGCCCCGTGGCGCTCTTCTGGGCAGAAAATGACCCTACCACAAAGACCAAGGTATCCCACCTAGGTCTTGTGAATCGCTCAACGACTGATACATGAATATTATTGTAGATTACTGTTAAACTACAGTGACAATAACCCATGAGTTCTTTGTCTCATACCAAGCTGAATGATCTGCTTACCGCGTGCAGAGATTATGACGTGGTTTCCATGTTCCAAAGCCCGAAGAAATTGCCTTCAACATTCATGCACGTGGATTATTCGTTGCAGTCCTTGCAACGCATTCGATTGACTGGAGTTGGACTGAATTAGTTACGCACTTCCGGTGCAGACTGTGCAGACCATGATTAAGAAGCATAATTATTTACTGTGAAAAAGAATATGGTGGAAACTTAACTTAATAATGATATAATATAATAATAATTATCAATTTATATTATTCTCAATAGTAATACGTATTAATGCCTCATTTTCCTTTATATTTAATGAATAAATTAATTAAATGGACACGTACCTTTGAATAAGCCGTAGAGATGTTTGGATACTTCATTTTATTATTGATTGTATGGAGCGCTATCAAAAATTTCTCTCTACAAGATTCGAGCCAGTGGAGAAATATCTAATACATAATAAAGTTAATGGCAAACAAATGTTAAAAAATTCGATCAGTACTCACAGCAGTAAATGACAGAGAGCGCATTTTCTCGTCCGTCCGTGACGTGAAGGAGGGACGGACATGACGAGTACAATATAGCGCTTTTTTCCATAAATGAGAAAATGCGCTAAAAATGATCGAAACCAATTTTTGGGTAACAAACAAATTAAGAAAGTTGTGTATTTATTTATACTACCAGCAAAATTTAACGGATTTGTCAGCTAATAAACTTTTAAACTGGATTAATAGTCATAACAACAGCAAGTTTGTTTAGATCAGAGTTATTTATCAAATCAAAATCTGTGTTTCACTTTCACGTTATGGTGCTGATTGGAGAGCAAACCGTGCACCCTATCAGAAAATAAAACAAAATTTTTACTGTATAATGTAGCTAAATCTTGCACAAACATTGCACTCTTTCGTTCAGAGATAATAACTTATTCCCGTTTCCAGGACGTCCGGAGACTTGAGGAAACCGTACCAAACTTCAAAAGGAGTTACCGCGTCAACAGCGAGTCTTTCGATCATGCGGACTTTATTTTCTCTAAGAAAGCTAAGACTCTAGTTTACCAAGATATCGTTGAGCTCCTAAAGCAATACTGAAGCTTGATTTTTCAAATGAAACCCTGGAATTTTGTGGTTAAATTTCCCTAAATAATTTTTTTCGTTAGTTTATTGCACTTTTAATAGTGGGATTTACAATTTCTGAAGGTATAACTTTATTCGACTCAATAGTTGCACGGCTCAATTTTCCGGTAATACGTGGTAATTTTTCAAAGCAGATTTTTAGATATAATGAAAACGTATAGGCGTTTTGTTTTGTAATTAAGTACCGTATCAAAATTTCTTTCTTCAGAGGTGAACAAATTAGGGTGAAGATTTTTTTTAGTTTTGCTTCTAAGTTTAAATTTATCTATTGCTTAAAATGATTGTTATCGTTGGTATCGTCTATCATTGATTCTTCTAGGTATGAATTTCATTATAAAATGTCAGAAGTGATTCTTCATGAATTTAATTTGATTTTCGTAATAGAGATTTTCTCATAACGAACCATGATTCAAAATTAGAAGTGCAATCAAGTAAAGACCCATCGAATTTCAAACAGTTTCACTGATTTTTAATTGATTATCGTGGCGAATGAATTTTGTTGTTGGAATTTTTAGATGCATCATTATTGGCCAAACTTTGGGTCCATTTTCTTTATCAGTGGAGCACCGTCAATAATTTCTAATTTGAAATGGAAATTATGGCCCATAAGCGTGAAAAAAGTCTCGTATCTTTGGAATCGCAGCTCTGAGACCAGGGACAAAATTAATTTCCGCATTATTTTCATACAGAAACTGACAGGGTTTCGTTCAAGCAGCATTTACATAATTTGTACAAAATTTTCATGTCCATGAATGTCACACATCAGCGGAAGAAAATAATGGACACTTATTTTCTATCTTCATTTGGTTAACCAAAATATTATAAATTCGCAAAAATTGAATGAAATTATTGTCATTTCTGTATTAGAAATTGATATAATTGAGCCAGTTTGCAATCATATGTCATTGAGCTTTAACCGATTTCTTATCTAGAAAACAAATGAAACGATAAATAATTATTTGAAACGTTGGGATCTAATATTTTTTTGTTTCGAAAAAATATTAATCAGGCGAAGTTTTTTCAATTAAGGCTTTCTGAAAAAAATCATTAGTTTCCAACACACACACACACACATTCATAATTGCATCAGAATAGCAATAATGACTGATCTTCCCTTGTGAAATTTGTATGTAGAACAACGCAACTTCCACAACGGTTATGAATTCTTTCGAAAGCAAATATCCAAATAATTTTATTAAAGATTCCAAGCAGAAAAATTTGAGAGAGTGAACTATTTCTAGGCGTAAATAATTCAGGCACCGAAGGCCGTTTTATTGGAAAACTTCAAGAATCGTCCGATAAAAGGGATACTTTAAAAGGAGATAAAAAGATACACATCATATTTCCCTAGCCCTACCTATTACGAAAAGCTTCATACATTTGAGATGGTTAAGAAAATTCATGTTGAAAATTAATCATTCTTCAGTCTTAAAGACAAAAGCAGTTTTTCATTTTTGGGAGAAATTTCTTCCGCTGTTTCTTGCACATTTTATAGTAAAATAAAATGTTATAGATAAAATTTGATTAGATATATGTTGATGATTAACTTTTCGACCAAAATCTTCGACTAGCATGAAATAAAAAAAATGACAGTAAACACATAGGGTAACGTGGGGCAGCGCGCCCCCCACTTTTTTTAAATTAAATTTTTGATGAAGTTTTAATTGATACGAGGTGGTTCTTTGTTTTGTAAAAACAGTTATTCGCAAAGAACTTAATAACGCAAACACTTAGCAAAACGTAAATCCGTGCACTTCATCCCAGTGAAACTGTCGACCGGCGGTAGAGAACACGGACCAATATCTGCCATACTTAGCGAGAAACCCGCTATGGGCCCGTGACCCGCAGTGGGCTCGCTGCCCCATGTTACCCTAATTTGAATCGCAAAATACGGTTTTCTTTTGCCCTGTATGTACATAATATGCATAGTACGGGACAATGGTAATATGCATATGCGGATTAGAATAATGGACACACACGACCGGAAAAATGAATGGGTCGCATAGTCTACATGGAAAACACTTTCTCACCCAGAAAGCGGACGCAGCACTGATGCACCCTTTGGCCGGACCAAACTGATGTAAGATCATCCTCACAAAATCAAAGTGCATCTCTATTTAGGCAATGTCTCGCTCATTACTCTGGGTGCACTATTTCATCAGTGGTATATAAGATGAAAATCTGGTAATTTTGTTCATATCCGACAATTTAAAAATATATTTTTTCCTCCAAAAATCTGATGAAAGTTCATCTGACTTTGGTCAATTTCAGGACTTCCAAGTAAATAATTTTTTTTTTCTTTTCCATTCCTGCAATTTCCTCTTCCTGTGAGTAGATTAATTATTCTCCCATTTAATTCAATAGGCTTGGGAGCTTTCTTGCTCTATCGCATATGATTGCTGAATTTACTACACGAGCGTCCTAACCTTACGCTGTGGAGACGAGAAGTTTTCTGCACAATCATTGTGAATTTTCTAGGTATTGCCTTTTGCTTCGCCCGTCTATACAGGCACCAATTGATCTTCGGAGATCAGCATTTTTCGCCTGTGACACGCAGGATAATGCACAAACAAATGAGAAATGTCCACAATGCGATTAGCCTTATTTTAGATTGAATATTCCACGTCTTTATTCCAAAATAATATGAACTATTTTTTACACATAGGATATGAAACTGAATTGCGAATTTCACTCGCCATGTAAGAGCTCAATGATTTGGAAACTGACAAAGATCGATTTACCTTAGCATGATATGAGTAATGGGGATATCGGATGACATAAATAAGGTCATGGTTTGAACTTGCGAGTGTGGGATGTCAAGGAATTACCATTCAAAATTCTCGTTGAACTAAGAATTCTTATAGTTGGGTGTTTCTTCCACCGTCAGTTTAGAAGTTATTGAAGTTATTGATCTTTCAAGTATAACTTTTTCAAATTTGATTCCAGAAGGGGAGTTATGAGTTACTAACTCATGGGTCTAAGAAAACAATTTACTTGCTTGTTTGATCACAAAATTATTTTTATACATTTCTTAGTTCGAATATTTCATTAGTATAAACTTTTATATTTGTATCGTCATGCTTATCGTGGCTCTCTTGACTGGCCCTGAGACTGAGTTAACCAAATTATTAAATAGACTATTTCGTCCAACAAGAAAGAAAAAAGATGCTTACACGAGTTTGCGAGAGGTAAGTACGAGTAGATTCAATTGAAAAGTTATAACGCGAAGGCCAGAATCCACAACATTTGCTTCTTAACAAATTCCACTTCGATCCATCGTCACCAAATAAAAGCGACAAGCTCATTAGTGTTTTTACAACACTTCTCTTTAACTTCACTTCTTGTCTGTCTGTTTGTTTGTTTGTTTATCTGTCTGCTACAAATCTTGTAATCGAAATTTAATACAATTCTACTTATCCTATCGATCTGAAATTTTGCACACATGTGTGAAGTCAGAGGCAATGCATGAATCAATTAATAGAATAAATAATTTTGAAAAAAAATTATATAGTAAAAAATGTATATATTAAAAAAATTGAAAAATTAATTTTTTTAATATTCGAAAATTAAATGAGAAATTCATTGTACATCTGTAAGATTGGAGACACTGGATCTTTGGAAGTGTTGTCTTTAAAAAGTAATTTTTAAACGTATATTATTCTGCATAAGGTCTCATGGACAATCGAAACAATGCATTACAAGCAAATTACGATGGAATAACGTTTATTATGAGTTGGCTGCGCAGGATTGACGTTTAAACAACGTCATTTCAACGTAAGGTGCCAGGTTGGATATATTTCTGATGAAGTCTTTTGAGTGAAAAAAGTTTGTGATTACCCTCATCGGTGATGGCTTTGCTCTTTTGCTTGCATTTCATGAATCGCTTTTTGAGGAATTTTTTTTTGCCACGGCTCGGGGGACGCCGTTATGCTTGCATGTCGAGCCCGCCACCTCCTCTGTGATGAGATGTAGGAAGTTATTGTGCTTGAGCTAATGATCGCTCTGATATTGTGCTACCTTCACTGGCTGCGCTTGCAGAATTGCATGCTGGCATCGTTAACTGGAGATCTTGAAAAATTTTTGAGCAGAAAAAATCTCTTTCCAATACCGAGTCAATCAACCATACTTGCTCTGAGACTAATCTTTCCTATATATAGTCAAAGTAACTGTAATTCAGAAGCACGCGCCGGAATTGCTACAAACTAAATTTTTACGCCATGCCCGAAATTCGTGCGTAGCATACCACTGCTGCATCACGCATCACTCATGCGACTGTGGGGTTGTGTTAAAAGCTACGAATCGCTCCGATCGGAATTTTAGTTTGCGATGTAGTGGATTTTCAACGAGTATATTCACAATTTTTTAATTCTGTAACACACTTTCTAATGTAAGGTGGATACGCGTTCGATTTACATGCAGATGACAATACAAAGCCGTGCTGAATCAAAGTTTGAAATTTTCGCTGTACCTAATTACTGCAAGAAAATATTTTTTAACCGGGAAAATAGCAAATTTTGCACAGCCCAAATGTTTTTTTGTTGTGTGCAATAATGACACGTGCCAAAATTTAATAAAAATTTGGCGAACAAAATAAATTTTGTGCACGGCATATGTTAAACAACCAATAGAAATATCTAAAGTCTAACACGAGAAGCATCCACTCACCATTTATCATCTACAGCTCAAATTTTATCAGAGTTCTGCTTAGTGTTGATTTGATTCAGAGAAAAAAAATTTATTGCTGTTAACAAGCATTTATGCTTCGCGTACGTAGCCATCATTTCCAAGGTGAAGGCATGTGTAAAAATCCCCACACTCTTCAAGGAAGCTAAAATACCGTAATTTTGCATACACACCATGGTTTTTTATTTCTCCACGTTGCAATACTCACTAAATTTTGCTGCATAATTGCGTAACGAGAGCTAAGTGATCTTACATATTTTTCAAAAGACCTTGTGAATATTCGAGCTCAAGATCATTATATTCTCACAGTGAGCAAGCAGACGTCGAGCGCAATAGACGTTATACGGAGTGCCTCGGTATGAATTTCTGATTACAACAGATTTTTTCGTATAATAAATCTCCTGTTTTCTTCAAAACTGTGTTGAAAATTTAATCGTGGCGTCATGCGTAACCATCTCCATCGAATAATTTAAAAAATATCCTTTAAATGTTTTGTCGTAAAAACTGGGGTTAAAACTTATTCAAATACAGTGAAAGCTTTTGTGATGTG